ATAAACAAAATCTTGAAAAGCAGTGTTGCAGTGATGAAACTTACCTTCTAAGAGGGCGTGATCTCGAACCGCTTCGGCAGCTAGCACAGACTTCCCACAGCCCGCCATTCCATATATGGTGACCCACCCTGGCTCGCCACTCAGCTTCCAGAGCTTCTGCTGAATCGCCTTCACCAGCCTCTTTCTAGTAACGAAAACCACCGGCCTCTGTGGTACTCCACCTTCACACAGCACGGTCCTCACTGAAAGCCCAAACAAGTACGGATGAACAAAATTTCAAAACTTGTGAGTAATAAGCGAGGCTGATGCTTAGACGAATATCAAAATTTTATTTAAAAAAATTAGGTATGAATTTCACCCTTCCAATGTCTCATAACACAAAGAACAGGAGTAAGCATATTATAGTCTTCAAGATCACGACACACAGTGGAAGTCTCCATCTATCCCTGCCTTATACACACGATCACTCCCTGACCCTCCAGCCTCTTTTGTCTGTGTCGAACAATGGGAAGGACCAAGGGGATAGTCCAGCGGCTGAGTTTGCAAGTTCAGGATTGTGGGTTTAATCCCAAGCGCCACAAAAAAAAAAAGAAAACGGGAAGGATGAGGACAACAAAATGGTTCAACAGGCTGCCTAGTCTGAGGAACTGAGTTCAAGTCCGCAGGTTGTCCTCTGACTTCTTCGTGGGCTCCATGGCTCACACAATAAATAAATGTGAAAAACTTGTTAACACTGGAAAGAATGTAAAGGGAACAATGGTTATGGAATTCCATTCAAAAACATAGGCTTCTGGGCTGGAGAGATATGGCTCAATGGTTAACAGCACTGGCTGTTCTTCTAGAGGACCAGGGTTCCATTCCCAGCACCCACATGGCCGCTCACAATGGTATGTAACTCTAGTTCTAGAAGATCCAACGTCCTCTTCTGGCCTCTGAGGACACCTGGCATACACACAGTGCACAGGCATACATGCAGGTAAAGCAGGCAGACGCATAAGATGAATTTTTTTTAAAAAAAATGTAAATTTTTAAAAATTCTTTTCCTGGGCTGGAGAGATGGCTCAGAGGTTAAGAGCATTGCCTGCTCTTCCAAAGGTCCTGAGTTCAATTCCCAGGAACCACATGGTGGCTCACAACCATCTGTAATGAGGTCTGGTGCTCTCTTCTGGCCTTCAGGCATACTCACAGACAGAATATTGTATACATAATAAATAAATATTTAAAAATAAATAAATAAATAAAAAATAGAAATTCTTTTCCTGTCTTATAAACTCTATCTAACACGCAAATAAAGAAAATAACTGACTCCCTGCAAACGCTCGTATTAGCTCTAGAATTCAGAGCGCATATGCTACCCCTCAACAGTAAGTAGTTCACTGCACAAGAAAAACCTGTATCAACATGGACACAAATAATTCAGATTTGAACTTAAACTATTTCTGCGCCTGCTTCCTTCCGGGAACGGAAATACACTCTCCAGCAGTTCAACTGCAATCAAACCTGCAAACAACAGAGCCACGATGACGACAGCGCCGGGACGCGGGGTATCAGGGATACACACCAAATGACGTTAGCCCGCCGTCTGTGTCTTTGCCACTGGAAGAAGAGATGAGAGGAAGGCCACTGTGAAGAAGGGCGGCAAGGTCTTTATATCCCTCGTGCAGGAGAGCGTTATAGAATGAAATGTAGGCACAGTTGTCTTTATTGAGTATCATCATGATCAGAGCAGCGGCTCGTTGGTACTGAGTGGTCTGGGAAAAGTGAGATAGGTAAGGATGCAGCCGTGGATACATCAGCAGCACAAATTAGCGGAGACTGGCCCAAGTCCTGAGGGCACCGGAAACTTTAAAGACATATATATAGAACGCCTCAGAGGGCTTTACCTGGCTCCTCACTTTTTCCTCCTCGACTACCGTCAAAACGTTGTCGCTGATCATGTGATCCATGATGTAGGATGTTTTGATGTCCCTTTCCAGAGCCTCTCTGTGTTGAAGCAAACAATTCCGGGCCTTTGCATCCATTGTCCTTCAGTCTGTGTTCTCGCTTCACTGCTAAGCATGAGCTACAGACAACATATCAACACACTTGTCATGACAAGAAACATGACATGTAATCAAGAAATGCAAAGAAAAAAAGTTTTTTTTTCATCCCAGCACTCAGGAGGCAGAGGCAGGCGGGTCTCTGGGAGTTCGAGGCCAGCCTGGTCTACAAGAGCTAGTTCCGGGACAGGCACCAAAGCTACAGAGAAACCCTGTCTCAAAAAACAAAAAAACAAAAAAAAAACAAAAACAAAAAAAAAAAAAGATTTTTTTTTCCTTTGGTTTTATGAGACAGGGTTTTTCTGTGCAGCCTTTGCTTGTCCTGAAACTAGCTCTGTAGATTAGGTTGGCCTCGAACTCAGAGACCTCAGAGATCTACCTGCCTCTGCTTCTCAAGGGCTAGGATTAACGGCGTGTGCCACCTCTGCCTGACTTCTTATTTCTTAATTATGTTTCTATTTAAAATTGAACATTACATAGCCATTTTAAATTACATAGCACATATCTCTATGCATTATATGTACTGACAAGGAAAGATGTTTCTGGCACTGGTGATTTAAAAAAGAGAAATAAAATCCTAAATAGCACAAAATGTGTTCTAGCTCATCAATCTATAAGAGGATGCTTAAATGCTGTTCATCAGTGTTTGGGAGGCTGAGTAGCAAGATTTTGGCTTTCTTTTATAATTTTATAGTCATTCTTTTCGATAGACATTGCCACTTTTTACAGTAAAAATTCTTCCTTTTCTTAAGTCGAGGTTCTGTAAAAGTTACCATACCTAAAGTTTTAAAACTTGTTTCCTTTATCCAACTTACAACCAAGTGGCATTGCTGCTCTGAGTTCTCAAAGGAGTTGTCAGCCCCAGATCTTCACCAGAAAGCACATACTCACAGAACCACAGGAAATACCCTCCGACGTCATTGCTTGGACTATGGTAACAAAGGATGATATTCTTTACAGAAAGATAGTTTCATTTCCTAACAAGTTCCCTAAAATATAATGGAAATTATTCCACAAGTATAAAGCCCAGTTCTGACTGTTTGCAAGTTCTAAAACATTAACAGAACTCCATCCTATGTATTAAAGTGTGAACGTGTTAAATAGGCTTAATCATTCCTTCAATACATGGTGTGTGTGTGTGTGTGTGTGTGTGTGTGTGTGTGTGTGTGTGTGTGTTGCTAGGGATTGAACCAACCGCCTTAATTTGCAGGGTGGGCAAACAATCTACCACCAGTGCTACATAATTTCAGCCCTCTTTCAACACATCCTGATACTCATATCCCTGAAAAAATTCACAGTCTACCAGAACAAAAAGAGAGGCAATCAGAATGTGACTATCCTAATGCAAAACCAAAGATGGGCACGAAGTCATTCAGAGAGCTCAGAAGAGGGGTATCATTCAACTTCAAAAAAAAAAAAATTGTCTTTGGAAAGTCATCAAATGTAGAACTTGCAAAAATTAATTTTTTTTAAAAAAAAAAATGCATCTGTTTCTGCTTGCCAAGGTCTGCAAAATGCCCAGGAGGGGAATGAAATTAACTGGAGGAGAAAAGAAATCAGAAACAAGACTATCATTTCCAACGTTAACAGTTTTAGTCTCGAAACTGACAGTTGTGAAATTCATTCTCACAAAGGATATTTGGTTATGTCTAACAGTTAAACAAAACCACACGTTTGCAACTAATTTCCAATAATCTCTAGCCTTATTAAACTTACTAAACACTTTTTTCAAACTTTACACAAACTGAAATGCTATGGGCAAACTCCCGGTGCCACACCTCTGGAGGCCACATCAAAAGAGAAAGTCAAACTGTTCGGAGACATAGAACACAAAATAAAGTCTGTCTGTCCAGGACTACTTCCTCCTTACATAATTTCTCTTCCTGGCACGGGAGCAGAATGATCAAATATCCCGCTTCCCTTATCTTCAGTCCCCGGGTTCTACAACAGAACTCTCACCAAGGACCTGTCTAGATGGGGTGGGGAGAGAGAGTGCGAGAGGGGAGGTAAACTTACCCAAAACCTTTGCACCGAGGTCGTGCTGGGAAGAGGAGCCCCGGGAGGGTCCGAAGCTGAGGCTCGGTCGCCTTAGTGCACCGGGGCTCCCAGCTGCTCTTCCAGCGACCCCGCGCCCCTGGCAGGTCCCGATACCTCAGGTGCCTCACCTGGGCATCGGTCGCTCGGGGCGCAGGGGGATGCCCGGGACTTGCGAGCGACGGCGAGGGACGGTCACCTCGGCGGGCTGACCCCACCGGTTGCCTCGGGCCGCACCCGAGAGACCTCGCTCGACCCAAACACAAAAGCACTGCCACTCCGGCCGCCGCGTCTCCCCTCCGACGGGAGCTGCCCGGGCGGGAAGCGGACGCCGCTCCGAAGGCTGACGCGACGGTCTCCGATCGTTTCCGATCGTCTCCGATCGCCGACCGCACACACCTCCCGCCGCCGACCCCCGTCTCCCACCCCTCGGAGCGCGGACAGCGCCGCCTCGCCCACTCGCAACCTCTGGATCTACGCCTCAGGCCCGCGGGGCGCTCAAACACCTCTGGGCCCCGCCCAGCCCAGCCCGGACGGCGCGCGCCCGCGCACGCAAATCCGCCGCCAGAGGGCCGGCCGCCCCGCGCGCGCCACCCCGCTACCGACGCTACCCTCGGCGCGTGCCCGCAGGCCCTGGGATTGCATCATCGCGTGCGCGGAGGGGCGGGGCTAAGACGCGGGGGCGCGCCCAGCCCCGGACCTGGTAGCTCGGCCCCGCCCCTCTCGTCGCGTCCCCGCAGCCGGCGCGCGCCCGCGGGTCTGAATTTCCCCTACTCGGTCTGGTAGCGGAACCCGGAGGCGGGAGGCGAGGCGAGCCGAGGGGCGGAGTTGTTCGGTGGGCGGGATCAAAGCTGGGATGGGGCGGGGCTCCTGAAGCCGAGCTGCAGCCACGTCCCACGGTACCCCCGCTGAGGCATCCCGGGCTTGGAGGTCTTTAGGGTTCCAGACATGTCCGAGGTGAAGAGCCGGAAGAAGCCGGGGCCCAAGGGGGCTGCCGGCGAGCCCGAGAAGCGGAGCGATGGCAGGAAGAACCCCGAGGCGAGGGGAGGCGCGGGCTGGGCGGACCCCCGCACCGGGCTCAGCCTGCTGTCGCTGGCGACGTGCTTGGGCCTGGCCTGGTAAGTGCTCGGTGCCGCAGGCCGCCTACCCACTCTTGCTTGAATGCGCTCACTTAACTGTTCTGCTAGCTAGCATGCTCCTGTCGCTGTCCCCGAAAGTCTGGGAACGAGTCACCAGAGACGCGGTGCACACTTTATTCCGCGCCTACTGTCCACACGTCACAAGTTTGCACATAGCTGAAAACCGCTACTTCCCGTCCACTCTGCAACTTTGCGGATGAGTTTGCCCCACCCCCACCCCACCCCAAAAGAAACGCACCAGGGAAATGTCTGGAGCCTAAAAAAGAGTTCGTTGTTGCTGAGCAATAAATGCTGATGAGGCATCCTCATATTTAGAACAGTGTGCCTACATTAAAACTATAGTCCTTTTTAAAAAAGATTTTGTATGTATATATATATGAGTGTGTGTATGTATGTGAAGGCATGTGTGCACGTGTGTGAAGGCGTGCAAGGAACCCACGAGAGGGTGTCAGATCCCAAGAGCTGAGGTTACAAATGATTGTAAGCCACCAGGCATGCATGCTCTGAGCAAGTGAGCCATCGCTCCAACCCGGAGACAATAGCCTTATTCCTTAATTACAGTCTGAACGGTATGTAGCATTGTAAAGGATACTTGTTTTCACTTAAGACTAAACATCCGTAGTGTTGAAACCAAGCATATATTGGTGATGTATTCGTGTAATATGGAATAATCTTAAAGACTGACTTTGTTTTCTTCCCTACTGCATCTTCGTAACAAAACTGATACATTAATACATTTTCATCATTGATAATCACTTAGTAAGAGAGCTAATAGATTCAGAAGCGACTCCGGATAGCCTTCAGTCTAGAACATTTTAATGCTAGTACATTTCCATTTTAGTTTACTGGTGACACCCCAAGACCTGGGGTCTTGGAGGGTGTATGGTTGGGTGGTTGGTTTGGTTTTTTTGAGACAGGGTCTTAGGTAGCCTAGGCTGGGCTGGAACTCACTGTGTAGCTGAAGATGACATTGAACCCCTGATCCACCTGCCTTCACCTCCCAAGTGCTAGATTACAGGTATTTGCCACCATGCCCTTCTTGTTTACTGGGTTGTTGTTGTTACAGTTTATAAAAATTTATTAAAATGAAATGGGGATCACTGTTCTCTTTAAAAGGGACTTATTTAATGATGTTATTAGTGTTTGCAGAATATATTAATTTCGATCAGAAGAGAATAAATGTGTTGGATTTGCTGTTTTAAATAAACTACTCATGCCTTAAAATGTGAGCCCTTTTTTAGGTAAAAGGGGGGCATGGTACATTTTGGATTGGAAAAGAATATTTCTGAGTTGGTTCACTCTAGGACAGCGGTTCTCAACCTGTGTGTCGCAACCCCTTTGGGGTCACATAACAGATATTTACGATTCATAACAGTAGCAAAATTACAGTAGCAATGAAAATAATTTTGTGGTTGGGGGTCACCACAACATAAGGAACTGTATTAAAGGGTCACAGCATTAAGAAAGTTGAGAACCACTGCTTAATTTATTTAGTTAAATTTAGTGGTTTTAGATGTTAAATTTATTAATGCAGTTCCCTTTACTTAGAGAAAGCCTCATAACTCATGAAGTAAACTATATCACAAAACTCATTCAGCATTTTCAGAGATTCTGTGAGAGTTCAAAAAGGTGTTCAACAAGGCCAGCAAGATGGCTTATCTGGTAAATGCTCCTGCCCAGCCAAACCAAAGGACAGCCTGAATTCCATCCCCTGCACCCACGAGGTGGAAGAAGAGAATCGAGTCCTAAAAGTTGTCCTCTTACCCCCACACATGCTCAGTGAAACATCTGAGACCCCACACACAAATGAAAAATAGTCATAAAGTGGAGGGCAACTGAGAAAGACAACCAGCCCCCGCCTCTGACACGCAGACACACACACACACACTCACACCCTCGAGCTTCAAAGGGAAACTAAGAATAAAACTTGAAAAGTCATGCTTCATCTCAGGAATGTGGTGTTAGGGAATAGAAAGGCAAAACATGTTACTCGTTAGAAAGATTTTTGTATAAGCTGAGCTCTGTCTTTGCAAAGTGATTTTTAAAATGCCAGATCAAAATTATGAAGCTAGAGTGTAGCTCGGTGGTAAGGGACTTGCCTGATGTACATGAGGCCTTCGGTTCCGTTCCCAGCTTTATCAAAAAAAAAAAAAAAACAAAGGTTATGCATTCTTTAAGTGGGTAGAGCCTATGACTGTTACAAGAACAGCTAATGGTTAGTTGTTCTTGGGAAGTATTTTAGCCCTAGACTGGAATATATGTGCTGTTTATAAGAAAATATTTATGGTAAATTTAGGGACAAACTTTAACCTAGCAGGCTGTTTGCAAGTGTGTCTCAAATATTTCCCATCTCATAAAATTGCTAATGGCACTCTGGAGTTTTAACAGTCATTGATCTCACTACACAACACATAGGTAAGCCTCTAACGCATACTTCAGGATCTAGAAATTGACCCGCCAGATATTATTAAATACTGTACTTAGTCTATTCTGGTTGTTAAAACAGAAAATAATTGTATCAGCATAAACTGCTTTTCCATCTCATACTTGGTACGCTTAAGCTAGGCAGGGGGCAAAGATCTCAAACTCTTGCACCGATGACAGTGTGTCCTCAGAAACCATAAATGTTTGGAAGATTGTTTGGGAAGTACAAGGTACATGACAAATCTAAAGGTATATTGCTTTCACCTTTCCACTGAAGTTTAAATTTACTTTCTGTCTTAGTTACTTTTCTGTTGCCACAACAAAACACCATGACCAAGGCAACTTATAAGAGCATGTAATTCAGAGGTTCCAGAGGGTTGGTCCATGATTGGAGGGGAGCCTCGTGCCGAGTAGGCATACCACTGGAGCAGTAGTGGAGTTCTTAAATCCGATCCCCAAGCAAGAAGCAGAGAGTGTACTAACAGAGAAATGGGAAGGGCTTTGAAACCTCAAAGCTCACCCAGTGACACACCTCTTCCAACAAGGCTGCAATCGGACATTTTGGGGGCAACCAGCTCATAAGTAATGACATGGAGATTTCTTCTTAATTATGAAGGCTCGGCCTTTAGCGTAGGCTTGTTCCTAACTAGCTCTTATAACTTAAATTAACCCATTTCTATTAATCTACGTTCTATCACGTGGTGTTACCTCTCATACCTTGTACCTCCTGCTTCCTCTCCGTGTCTCCTGGCATCTCCTCTCTTCTTCCCAGAGTCCTCTCTGTCCCCAGATGTCCAGCCAAACCTCTTCCTGCCCAGCTATTGGTTATTTAGCTCTTCATTAAACCAGTTGGGAGGCGCCTTAGCAGAGACACGTCTTCACAGTGTAAACAAATATTCTGCAACACAAGGCCACACCTCCCAATCCTTCCCATACAGCTCCACAATTAAGGACTAAGTATATACACAAGAGTGGTATTGCTGAGTCTTAGGGTAGGTAGATTGTAACCCAGTCTAGCCTCAAACTCATGGCAATCCTGGTACTTCCTCCTCCAAGGACTGGGATTACAGGCATGGGCCACCATTCCCAACCTTGCCCTGGTTTTAAATAATAGAATATAAGGGCTGGAGAAATGACTCAGCACTTAAGAACACTGGCTGCTCTTCCAGAGGTCCTGAGTTCAATTCCCAGCAACCACATGGTGGCTCAAAATCATCTGTAATGAGATCTGGTTCCCTCCTCTGGCCTGCAGGCATATGTGCAGACAGAACACTGTAAACATAATAAATGTTTTTGAAAAATTAAATAATGGAATATAGTCAGTGTTCCCTTAAATACTAGGTAGCTGGAGATGCTATGAAACAATGGATGGTCGTTGACCCTAATAGTGGCCCTGTAATGAACCATACATAATAACTGCTTCCTGTGATTATGTACTCTTTCTCATTAAGTTGAAAGAGGCAGAGAAATCCCTTAGTCATAAGTTCTCAGTCAGCTGTCTGCCACCACGGAAGAACTCACTCAGAGATTATGCTGTGCACCGTTCATTAACACGGGGTCCTCAATTTGTGCGAAGTCCTGATAGACTTCATGGATGTGAAGGGGTAAGGAAGATTGCTTTTGGAAGGCCTACACTGAAAGCTGGTTTGCTTTCTGGGTCTCTTTCTCCTACATCTAACACTTAAGGCCTTACCTTTCTGATAGTGAAGAAGGTCCAAAACGAAGTCCTGCTGCCATGGATACTTACAGATGATCAATCCATCCCCTGCTTCATTTGTTACCAAACCAGCCCCCTGTCCAGCTTCGAGTTCAGTGGTAGGCTTACAGCTTCAACCAGAGCAAACAGAAGGGAATCTCGCGCCTTTAAGCAGGCAGCGTTGGCATGGAGGACAGATGGGAAAGAGCACAAAGGGGTCCAAAAGAAGGGCTAAGGAGCATCCAAGACACCCTGAGCCTCACCCCTGCCCTCCAAAGGGAAGACACTGGGGCAGAACTAAACAGCGGGTGCTGAGGTCCTGAGTGATTTGTTACACTCCGAGCATTGCTCTTGTGTTCTATCAATACGAACCTGTTTTATGTCTCCAAAACCCCTGTGAGATATTCTTGTCCCTGCCTTCTAGGTGAGGATACACTAGCAAACCAAACAATTAATTTGTCCAAGGTGGTTGGTTATACAACCAGTAAGTGCAGAGACAAAACAGCCTAGCTACTTAGCCTGTGTGATGTGTTTGCCTCCCTTCAGTATCAACCCAAAATAAGATCAAGTTTCCGAAGCTGGGCATAGTGGCCCACACCTCTAATCCCAGCACTCAGGAACCAGAGACAGGCAGATCTCAGTGAGTTGGAGGCCAACCTAGTCTACATAGTAAGTTCCAGGCTAGCCAGGACTACACTGTGGGACCCTGTCTTGAAAATAAATGAAAATTCCGAGAAAGGAGGACTGGAGAAGATCGATGGCTTAGTGGTTAAGAGTACTTGCTGTTCTTGCAGAGAGGATGCCGATTCTGTTCCCAGCTCTACATAGTGACTCACAGCTGTCTATAGCTTCTGACCCCCACTTCTAGCCTCCTCATGCACCAGGCATATGTGTGATACATATGCATACATACATATATACATAAATACATACATACATACATGTAGGTAAACACACATACCAGTTCTGAATCGGCCCTTTCTTCTGCTAGAAGCTGTATTAGTAGACTCTAATTTCAGGTCTTTGACAACCTTGTCTAAAGACAAAGACTGGGAATTGCTCCTGTCAGAAGATGCCTCTGGCTCATTAACAGGAATAAAACACCTTGGGCATAAACCTGATACCATTTGAAGAACATGATTCTTCAGGGCCGAAGCAGCCCTCTTTGGGCATACTTTCTTGACTTCTAGAAAATAAACCATTTTCTTCCATAATTTCAAATGAGTCCATATTTATGAAATATAAACATATAATGAGTCTTTATCTGTCCTGCCAGCCAAATAATGACACCAAGACTTATTATTAATTATAAAAGCTCAACCTTGTTCTTAACTAGTTCTTATATCTTATATCTTATATCTTATATCTTATATCTTAAATTAACCCTTATCTTTTAATCTACATTCTTTTACGTGGCTGGTTACCTTTACTCTCTACTGCCCACTCTGCTTCCTCTGCACCTGGCTGGTGATTCCGCCTTTCTTCTTCCCTGAATCCTCTCTGTCCCAGAAGTCCCACCTAACCTCTTCCTGCCTAGCTATTGGCCATTCAGCTCTTGATTACACTGATCACAGCAATACACCTTCACACAGTGCACAGACATCCCACAGCATCTACGGGTGGAAAATGCGTTATAAGTCATCAGCACTGTGGACCGTCTTTTTCTCCTCCTCACTGGCACTAAGTCAGTGGCATGCTGCTTTTTGCTTGTTTGTATTGTCTACTTGTAACAAGGGGGACTCTTACTTTGGCAAGAGGCTAACCTAAAGGAGAAGGAGGAGAAAAGTATCAGAGGTATTTGCACTCACCTGGCACTATTCAAGCCTTGCTTAATGCTTGAATCTGAAGAGAAAGCCAGCAGTAGATAGCATTAAAATGTCTAATAAAATCAAAAGCCTTCAGCCAGGCATTAGTTGTTCATTCCTATAATCTCAGTACTTGGGAGGCTGGGACGAGAAGATCAGGGGTTCAAGAGGCTAATCCAGGTTATACAGTGGTTTGAGGCCAGCCTGGGCTACATGAGACACTGCCTCCAAAAACAAACTTAACAAAAACAAAAGAGAAAAAAGGTGTAACGCTTAATTTTATTTTTTTAAATCTCTGTGTGTGTGTCTGTGTGTGTGTGTCTGTGTGCGCCTGTGTGGTGTCTGCCTCTGGACATCATTGCTGGGAACTGAATTGGGTCTTCTGGAATAACAGCAAAAGCTCTTAATCATTGAACCGTCTTTTCCAGGCTCAGTAAGGCATTTTTATAATGGATCAACTTTTACTCAAAGCCTCCTGTAGTAATGTTTCTGTTCTGAGTAAACTTACTCCTCTGTGGGATAAGTGTGTGGAGTAACACATGCAATAACATGTAATAAAACTAGTCACTGAAATGAGCTCATTTACTGGGCGGTAAGTCTATGCTACTAAAGAGGGAAAACACTTAAAATTATGATATGACAGAAGCAATTATGGGATGTAGGGGAGTACTCGCCCAGGATGCCCCAGGTTCTAGGTTTGTTCCCAGCAACAACAAAAATGAAAAAAAAAAAGATAGATAGATGAGAGAGAGAGAGAGAGAGAGAGAGAGAGAGAGAGAAATTGTCTAATCATCATCCAACTTTAAAAATTAGGAAAATCATGCTTTTTACATAGGTTTTGCTTAAAAGATATATAAATGCACAAAAGAGAAATTGATCTCTTCTAATTCCTTTGGGGGGGGCGGCGTTCTGAGACAGGGTTTCTCTGTAGCTTTAGAGCCTATCCTGGAACTGGCTCTGTAGACCAGGCTGGTGTCAAACTCACAGAGATCCACCTGTCTCTGCCTCCTGAGTGCTGTGCTAATTCTATAAACTAGGATTATATGATTAGACATTAACCTGCATCATCAAAAGAAACTTATTTATTCCAACACTGTAAATATTTGTTTAGCAAACGTGTCCATTTTAAATTTACACAGGCTTACAAGTAGTCAATCCGGTGAGACCATTTTAAGTTCAAAACACAGGCACCTTTTCGAGGATACACACAGCTGCACTCTGAGAGGCCTCTCAACTCAGAAACTTTGGCGTCTCTTGTCTTTCACAAGAAAAGTACTATAAAGTATGATCAGTAAGTGATCCTCAGCTTGGCTGCATTGATTGCCTGGGAAGCTGTTAGACTATTCAGTGCCCAAGCCATATCCATGACTAGTTAATTAAGAATTTCTGTAAACGGCGATCCAGTTAGGGGTGTGTTAAAGCTGTCTGGTCATTGGTTCCAATATGTAGGGAAGATTTGCAACCACTAATCTAGATCCTGAGCCCTTGGCACTTTGTTCTTGTTGTTGTTTTCGAGACATTTATTGTTTCAGAGATTAGGATAAGGTGTCTGGCTAACTCAGTAAAGCATTAGATTCTTAGAGATTGGGGTAGCTTTTTTTAATGTGTGTGAATATTTTGCCTGCAGGTATGTGCATCACATGTGTGCCTGGTGGCGGTACGGGTGAGAAGAGGGCATTGGATCCCCTGGATCTGGAGTTATAGACAGTTGTGAGCTACCATGTGGGTGCTGGGGATAAAACCCTTGTCCTCCAGGAGAGCAGCCCGGTGCTCTTAACCACTGAGACTCTCTCCAGCCCAAAGATAGTTTGTTTTTGTTTTTTTTTTTTCCTTTTTTGCTTCTACTCTTTACTATTTACCAGATGAAGAGACCACTCTAACTTTGCTTGCTTATGTGCTGGCTTCCAACCTGGGGTCTTTTACCCGTCAGATAAGCACCCTTCCTGCCACTGTGTTCAGCCCTAGTTGTGTGTGGGTGTGTGAGTGTGCCTGTGAGTAAGTGTGCATGTGTGTGAAGGTCAGAGGTCAACCTCTGTCATCCCTCCTCAGAGGCAACAACCTTGTGCTTTGAGTAAGGGCCTCCCACTAAGATGGGGGTCTCACTGATTAGCTAAGGTTGACAGATCCTCCTGTCTCTGCTTCCCTGGCTCTGGGATTACAAGGGCACCACCACGCTCAGCTTTCTAAATGGGTGCTAGGGATGGTGCTCAGGTCCTCATGCCTACATGGCCAGCACGTTATCAACTGGCCGTCCCCCTACTGTAGAATGACACTACAGTATAGCTGTGAGCACATTGCTGAGCATAGTCAAGCACAGAGTTTTTACAGCCTGCTTTGCGTGTTCTTCTCTCGCACTGACAATGGCTGTCTTCTGTATTTTTATTATTATAACCTTTTTTTTAAACAGAGTCTCGTGTAGCCCCAGTTGACCTTTGAGCCTTAGACTCACTACACGTAATAGAGGATGACCTTGAACTTATGGTCCTCCTGCCTCGGCTTCCCAGAATCATACAATTACAGGTAAGGATAACATAGTCTGGACGATAGTTTGAGGGACTTAGTAGCAGCTTAGTAGTGCTGCGCTTTGAGATCAAAGATTTTATTCCAAATAGTTCAACCCTAACTTCTTCCAAAATATGTTTTGTCCATCTATTAGAGATGCTGCCCTGCTTCACTCACTGAGCTGTGAACCCTGGAAAGAGGCAATGCTGACTCATCTTCCCCTCCCACTCAGTAGGCACCTGGGTGGTGAAGTCAGCTGACAGACACTGCAGCAACCCTTTGAGAATGCACCTGTTCTTATCAGAAGCGAGTGATAGTCATTATTTTCTTCTTCTCCAGGCTTGTATTTCAACAATCAGAAAAGTTTTCGAAGCTGGAAAACCAATACCAATTGCTGCAAATAGAAAGCAGAGAGTTTCAAGGACTACAGACTACCATCAGTTTAATTTCAGACAAGGTAATCCATTCATTAACTTGCTTGGGGGATATGCTCCCGTCTTCTTTCAGCCAGAAACTAACAAAATTGTAGGCTTTGGGAGAGGTAGCAAGTCTTACACGGTTGCAGTTCCCTAAAAGCCAGATAGCCATGAAAAGGACACCTATGTTACTTCCCATTGACATGAAGAAAGAAACCCCAGTATACTTCAAAAACGTGAACATCATTTCTTTCAACTATGCCCGCATGAAAAAGGTATGTTAAATAACTAGGATTATGAGTTCAAGAATATATTTTTTCAACATAGGGCTACTCTACTAAATTTGTTAAAAACTATTAATGACGAATGTTTCTGTCCATGCGATTCTGGTGTACTTGGATATTTTAGGTATCTTCAGAATTTGAACCTTGTATATATCGTACTCCTGACTGTTACAATATGTTTCTCTAATATAAAAATGATTACGTAGCTCAGGATTGTTTGTGTCGTAAATGCAGCTGGAGTCTACTGAAAGTATCCTGCAGGAAGCTGCACCATCCATGGCTTTGATGACCCAGTTTGAACAGGAAATGTCTGGCCTCCAAAGATCCATACATGACATTGAGGACAGTGAAGAGATGCTCACTCGGAAGATGCAAAGCCTTAATGAGAAATTCCAGACCATTACAGATTTCTGGGAGAGAACCCTGGCAGAAATGAGCAACAATACAGCCACTTTCAAATCAGAAGCAAAGCATATACATTCTCAAGTTACCATGAAAATTAACTCAGCTGAGCAAGAAATGAAACTGCTCACTGAACGGCTAAAAGATTTGGAAGACAGCACACTACGAAACATCAGAACAGTAAACAGACAAGAAGAGGAGGATCTTCTCCGAGTAGAGGCACAGCTCAGCTCCAACACAAAAGCCGTTGAGAAGCTAGAAGAAGAGCAACATTCACTCCTAGCCAGAGATGAGGAGCTGACCAGTAAACTTGCCAACTATGAACCCAAAGTTGAAGAGTGCAAGGCCCATTTGCCAGCTATAGAAAATGCAATCCACTCTGTCCTCAGAGTCTCTCAGGACCTGATGGGGACAGAAAAGAAAATGGAAGACCTCACTGTGCAGATGTTTAACATGGAGGACGATATGCTAAGGGCGGTGTCTGAAATAATGGAGATGCAGAAGACCCTTGAGGGAATTCAGTACGACAACAGCATACTAAAGATGCAAAACGAACTGCTGGTTCTCAAAGGGAAAGTTCACGATTTCATAGCATATTCAAGTTCAGGAGAAAAGGGGACTTTGGGAAAATATAACCTAGAAAATAAGGGAGCCGATGATTATTAAGCTTGCTGTGTACCTTTTGATGGGCTGTATTGTTAAATGGAGATCAGTCAGTTCTACTTTAAAGAAATGGCTCTGCCTCACTTTACCAAAGAATAAGTGGAGTATGGACCACATAATCACACTTTTATCCCTTTAAGATGTAACACTTACATTAACCATTTTAAATAGAAATCATTCTGCTGGGAGGTAGTGGTGCACGCCTTTAAATCCAGCACACAGATGCAGCAGCAGGTGGATCTCTGAGTTCAAGGCAAGCCTGGTCTTCAGAAGGAGTTCCAGGACAGCTAGGGCTACACAGAGAAACCTTATCTCAAAAAAATAAAAAAAAAAAAAGAAAGAAAGAAAAAGAAAAACAAGAAAATAGTTCTAAAATATATATATTGCTCTACTTTTAGGCAACATATTTAATATTTACATGTCTTTCCAATAATTAATAGACATTATTATGAATTATATTTATTATACTAGAGATATATGTGTGTATCTAGAGACATAGATATCTACATATAGATGTCCATAGCAAATACTGAGACCACTTACCATTTCTCTATGTGACTCTAGTTTTCTGTCTTCCAAAGCCGTGTCTGTCTCTCATGCCTTTTCTGTCACCCGTTCTTGCAGTTGGTTGATAGCATGCCTGCCTCTGCAGCTTCTTTATGTTCAGACAGCCAGGTTCGTAGGGATTTTATGTAAACTGAAAGGTAACATGCCTGCAGGAGAGCCTGGGGGCTCTTCTGTGAGGCTTCGCCACCTTCTGAAAACCATGGCACCTAGGAAGTAGTTTCCCTTTCACAAAGGTTCTAAACTGGGCTGGAGAGATGGCTCAGTGGTTAAGAGCATTGCCTGCTCTTCCAAAGGTCCTGAGTTCAATTCCCGGCAACCACATGGTGGCTCACAACCATCTGGAATGAGGTCTGGTGCCCTCTTCTGGCCTGCAGACATATACACAGACAGAATATTGTATACATAATAAATAAATAAATATTTAAAAAAAAAAAACAAAGGTTCTAAACTGTGTTACAGCTACTCATAAGAGGTTTAAAATGTGAGTAAATATGCTTACTCTGACCTCATTAATATTTCCCGTTAACCGGTTATGCTTTGGGGTAATGAGCTTTCGGAGTCCTTTTTTGTACCTGGACTTTAATTTCTAAAGTTTGAACTGTGTGACACTAGGGTTTACTAAATATAACCAGTAGATACTTAAAGTAAAAAGTATGCCAATAAGCCTGTGCCTGTTTTAAAGATAAAACAACTTAACAGTAAACTGTGATCATTGTGATGTATTTATGTCATTTTAAAGATTCCCCAACTTATGAAACTAAGTTTGTTTTACATACTGATTTTATTTTTAAAACATTAGGGTTGGAGCTAGGCATGGTGGCATATACCTTTAATACCAGCATCAGCCTGGGCGGTGGTGGTGCATGCCTTTAATCCCAGCACTCAGGCGACAGAGGCAATGCAAGCAGAACTATGAGTTCAAAGCCACCCTGTTCTACATAGTGAGACTATATCTCAAAATAATAATAATAATAATAATAATAATAATAATCAGTTAACAAGGCTAGGAGATAGCTTCGTAAGTGAAGTTCTTGCTGTGAAAGCTGAGGACTTTACCCAGCACTGACATAAGAAACTGGGTCTAGCAGTGCCTGCCTGAAATACCAGCACTGGAAGACAGAGGCAGAATGCAAATAGTACATGAGAAAACTATCAAAATATCTGTGTCTATGTATTCCTTTGCTAAGAAATTTGCTGAGCTGGGCGGTGGTGGCACACAACACACCTTTAATCCCAGCACTCAGGAGGCAGAGGCAAGTGGATCTCTATGAGTTCGAGGCCAGCTGGGTCTACAGAGCAAGTTTCAGGACAGCCAAAACTACACAAAGAAACCGGCTAGAAAAATAAAAAATAAATAAATAAAAAAAGAAATTTGCCTTGGGGTCGAAGAGATACTCGGTGGTCAAGAGTACTGGTTGTTCTTGCAGAATACCTGGCTTTGATTCCCAGTACCCGTATGATGGCTCACAACCATCTATAAACTAATTTTCTAGGGTAGCTGGCACACTCTTTTGACTTTTGCAGACAGCAGGCATGGCATGTATATGGTGCACAGACACATACACATATGCAAAACATTCATATGCATAAAATAAAATAAATTTTTTTTTGTTTTTTCGAGACAGGGTTTCTCTGTGGTTTTTGGAGCCTGTCCTGGAACTAGCTCTTGTAGACCAGGCTGGTCTCGAACTCACAGAGATCCGCCTGCCTCTGCCTCCCAAGTGCTGGGATTAAAGGCGTGCGCCACCACCGCCCGGCAAAATAAATGTTTTTAATTTCGTATTTATCAGAGTCGTCATTGGAGAGACCTAGATACATTTAATGAATCTTCCTTTGTTCTTTGGTGTGTGTTTTGGAGCTTTTTATTTTATTTTTGAGACAGAGTCCCAGTATGTAGCCCAGGTTAGTCTTAACTCACCATCTTCCTGCTTTTGCATCTCAAGTAACAGGGTCACAGATATATGTAATGGCACAGGCTTCATTTTGTTGTGCCTTATGAAAATTGCCAATATTGTAATATACATTTTTGTATCTCTGTAACTGATAATAAATATTATACCAATTAGCTCATAGAGAGTACTGTCCATTTATTTAAAAATGCCAGCGCAGGTAAAGCAGTTTTCCAGCTAGGTGTGGCAGTGCATGTCTGTAACTCCAGGTTGAGGCGGGAAGAGTCCAAGTTCATGGCCAATTTGGCCTACACACCAGAACACTAACAACAAAAATCTTGCAGAATGAGAGGCTGAAGAGATAGCTTTGTGGTGAAGACTGCACACTGCTCCTGCAGAGAACCCGAGTTCAGTTCCCAGGACCCACATAAAGCTGTTCACAGTTCCCTGGAACCTCAACTCCTTCCCATTGTAGGGGATCCAGCTCTCTTTGGCCTCCATGAGCACCGACTGCTCTTCCAGAGGACCTGGATCCTATTCCCAGCACCCACATGGCAGCTCTGCAAGTGTTGCACAGACACACGTGCAGACAAAACACAAACATGATATCATAAAAGAATTTTGTTTGTTTTTGTATTGTGAGACAGGATTTCTCTATATAGCTTTGGAGCCTGTCCCAGAACTTGCTCTGAAGACCAGGCTGACCTCGAACTCGCAGAGATCCACCTGTCTCTGCCTCCTGAGTGCTGGGATTAAAGGTGTGCATCACCATTGCCTGGACAAAGAATTTTTAAAATTACAAGATGAGCTGGAGCTATGGCTCAGCTGACAGTGTCTGTCTAGCATTCTTGAAGCACTGGGTTCTATCCCAACACTGTATAAAACCAGGCCTGAACACCTGGGAGATGGAAGCAAGAAGATCATAAATTCAAGGTTATTCTCAACTACATAAAGAACTCAAGGTCAGTCTGGACTGCCTGTGACTCTGTCTCTACAGACACATGTACATACATGCATACATGTATACATATGTAGTGATGTTTTGTTTGTGTTTTAAAAAGTAAAGCTTGCAGCTGGGCGGTAGTAGCACACAGACTTTAATCCCAGCACTCGGGAGGCAGAGGCAGGCAGACCTTTGTGAGTTTGAGGCCAGCCTGGTCTACAGAGCTAGTTCCAGGACAAGCTCCAGAGCTACACAGAAAACCCCTGTCTCGAAAAGCAATAAATAAATAAATAAATAAATAAATAAATAAACAAACAAATAAATAAATAAACAAACAAAATAAAATAAAAAGTAAAGCTTGCCTGAAGATCAGAGTGCAGAGCTAAGCCACTAGAGGCCAGGCAGTGGAGGCACACACCTTTCTTTACTCTCAGGTCTTGGGGACAGAAGGATCTCTGTTAGTTCAAGGCCAACCTGAGCTACAGTGAAATTGATCCAGACTAAAAGAGAAACAGAGCTCACACAAAGGTGATCCTATCACTCAGGATCACACACCCTTAATCCTAGCAGTAGGGGGGTGGAGACAGGAGTGATATGGCTAGGCAAAGAGAAGACTATCGGGCAGGAGGAGACAGGAGCTCAGTGCAGTCTGAGGTTTCAGAGAGACGACGTAAGTCTGAGGACAGGATGCCCCTTTGGTCTGAGCATTGGCAGAGGTAAGAACTCGAGTGGCTGCCACTCTGCTTCTCTGATCCTTCAGCTCTCACCCCCCAATAGCTGACTCAGAGTTTTATTATTAAGACCAATTGGAACCCATGCTACATACATACGTATGTACGTACATACATACATACAACAATGTAAAGGACCAGCTAATGATGTAGCTTAGAGAAGAGCACCTGCCTGTCATATACAAGGTCCTGAACTTGAACTTGATCGCCAGCACTGAAAAGGAAGGATGGGAAGGAGAGAGGAGGAAGGAGATATAGCCAAATAAATAAATAATAATAAAAAAAAACTTCGCCATTTCTAGTCTGTTAGCACATCGTATTGAGTTTCCATTTTAGAAGTTCATAATAAATCCTCTCCCGAGCCACCAAATGAATCAAAACAGTGACCCGGCCTCCTAAGAATGAACTCTTCCTAAGCTGTCTTAGTTAAGCCATACTATTAAACTATACTTACTCCACAGAAGTAGATGCCTTAGCCAGTGACAGCCTAGTGATAAAATAGACAAGAGAGAGCTTTCTGTTCCTCTCACCCACGGGAGGCTTTTCAGCAAATAAGTGTATTGCAAAACATGGTCCCTAAAATAAAATATTTTGCAATTGCTACTTGATTTCCTTCCTATTTGTTTCTACCCATTAATGTCATGCTCTGAATAACCTTATCACAAGCAGACTTCTCTACCAAAAACACATTCTGGGTCACCTACTTCAACAGTCATTGATGTAGCGTAAAGAAAAATTGACGAGAAAAATATACGGCGAAACCAAACGTGATGGCGCAAAACTGGGCCGTGCTCCCTTGAGTTAACTGGTCTACCTCATTTCAGCGAATCGCCTTCTGTTACAGCCACTGCTTTTAAATCTGCATTCAAAATGCTCTTCTGGGAACTAGGGATATAGATCAGTGGGCAAAGCTGAGCAAGTGAGTTTGGATCCCCACCACCCACATACAGTTGGGCGTAGAGGGGTGTAGATGGCTCAGAGGCTAAGAGTGCTTGCAGGGGACTCAGATTTAGCTCCCAGGGCTCACATGGAGACCACAGCTTCCTGTAGTTCCATTTCCAAGGCATCTGGGGCCTTCATCTGGCCCACATGGGCTCCTGATCTATGTAGTATACCCAAACTAACACAAGTATACACACATGTTTAAAAAAATCTTTTTAAGGGCTGGAGAGATGGCTCGGTGGTTAAGAGCACTGGCTGCTCTTCCAGAGGTCCTGAGTTCAATTCCCAGCACCCACAGGGTGGCTCACAACCATCTGTAATGAGATCTGGTGCCCTCTTCTGGCGTGTGGGCATACATGGAGGCAGAATGTTGTATAAATAATAAATAAATTTTAAAAATCTTTTTTAAAAAAATTTAGTACAGAGGGTTAGAGAGATGGCTCAGTGGTTAATAGCACTGGCTGTTCTACAGGTCCAGAATTCAATTCTCAGCAACCACATGACGGCTCACAACCATCTGTAATGAGATCTGATGCCCTTTTCTGGCATTCAGGCATGCATGCAGAAAGAACACTGTATACATACATACATACATACAAAAATCTTTTTTAAAAATTGGGTACAGAGTGCATGCCTATAATTCCAGCTCTTTTTTTTTTTGGTTTTGTTTTTTTTTTTTTTTTTTTTTTGGTT